GTAGGTTACAGATTCCCCTGGAGAGGTATGATATGACCAATCCTATAGCCCTGCTCTAGAGAGCCAGAAATGTAGCCCTCAGGTGTGGTACCTCAGAATCTGCATTAAAAACAGGTTTCATAGTCGCATTGCACATAGCAGTGTTGAAAAATATTACACCTAATCTCAAATGTATAAATAAATGAAAATAATACATGCTGTTAATCTTCATAGCCATTTAGAGGGATTTGTTTCAGATTTTTGTTTGTATGTCTATATTGTTCATTTTCTTCACTTTTAAGACAAATAAGACATGCTCCCTCTACTCAATACAATTCACAGGACAGTCAGTAAGATTTTGATTGAGTATAATGAGCTGATGTACTCTGAGAGTCAGGTACCTCTCTGTATTGTTAAAGGTGAGAAAAGGTGGAAATATTTTTAAATGAATATTTGATCACAGAAAATTTTGTAGGGGAGTATTGTTCAGGAATGTGAGGGATTTCCCAGGGATGAACCAAAGGCAAGGGTTTGAAGCTGGAGCTTACCTTGGCAGGGGGCAGTATAGGTAGGTAGGTTCAGAGAATGACAGATCACCATTGCTGGTAGAGTAGAAATGTATAGACTAGCCAATGGAATATGCAATCTAAATGATAGGTAGAGGTCAGGCTGTGAGCATCAAGTCAGTGGTGCCAAGAAAAGGACTTTGGCCTTTTGGCCTGCCTGGGATTATCTGTTTAGTCCAGGAAGGAAAATATATGAAGGGAAAGAAAGAGAAACTCCTTGGAGCCTACAGATACAGCAGCAGCCTTGAGGCTTCTAAGGAGGTGAGTGCCCTCTAGGGGTTTAAATGATTTCTGAGTGCTGTGCTTCATTACCCTCAGTGGCTCAAGGGCTCACTATGTTAAATCCATTACCAACTTGAGAAAGAAGAAGAAGGAGAAAAAGAAAAAAAGCTTAAACAAGTCCTACCTGGCTGCAGCTGTGATGACTTATGCAGAAATTTATTAATGTGGTGCTTTGATTGATCATTATCTTAATACTCAGGATAAGATTAGATGCTTGATTTTTTTTCTGGCAAATTGCAAATACAGGTTGCTTCTTGTTTGAAGTAAAAAGGCCATTAACATTTTTATTGTATGATTCCATTTATATGAACTGTCCAGCGTAGGTAGGCCAATGGAGACAGAACATAAATTAGTGGTTGCTGAAGTTGGAGAAAATGAGGAGTAGCTGTTAGCAAGTGTAGATTTTCTTTTTGAGGTGATAAAAATGTTCTGAAAGTAGGTACCAGTATAAGTTGCAGAACCCTACAAAAAAAAACATCAGTCTGTACACTTTAAAAGTGTGGATTTTTATAGTAGGTGAATACATCTCAATAAAGCTTTTTTGTTTCATTTCTTAAAGCCCTTAGTACTTTTGCTCAAGGTGCATGCATATAGTTCTATCTGGAAGGGCCTGATTGAGCTCCCACCCCATTTCTCTGTCTCCAACTCTAACTTTATTGTGTATCTTTGTTTTGTTGCATTATCCCATGTCATCCTTCTTTCCTTCCTCTCCAATTCTGTTCCCTTTAAGTTTTTATGTAATGACTGTATGTGATGAATGCAAAAAGAACTTGGTCCATATGAACACTATAGATGCTCAAAGCAGAAAGTGATAAGGACTGTGGACAAGTAGCTGCTTGGAATTCAGAGAAGGAGCTGTTACATGGAAAGACAGCTAGACACATGCACCAAATGAGAAATGTCCAGGATTCAGTAGAGCAAGCAATGCAAACATAGCAAAGTGAGGACTTGTCTGAAAAACAGACTGTAACAAAAGGAAAATGAAGGGAAATACTATGAGAGAGAATTAGGAAAAGGTATATGGACTTCAGAGGGTTGTATGGTAGGTAGAGACACTGAGAAATGAATGAGAAGATTGTAGACCATGAATACAGTAACTAAGCCTTAGGCTGGGCTGGGTGTGCCATACCTCGTGTAAAAGGAGAGATGTTAGAGCTGGAAATTGGGGAAGAGTAAAACAAATGATGACATCTACCTAAGTAAAAGGCTTAAAATTTTTTTGTGTGAACATATTGTACAGAGGGGTTACAATTACATGGGCAGGATAATGCATACATTTCTTATCAAGCATTGCAGCCTCCTCCTTTGTTTACCCTTCACATCCCTTCCCAGCCTCCCCCCCCCATGTCTCTCCATTTCTTCTGCTCTTAATCCATCTATTTCCTCCTTTCACTTGCCCCTTATTCAGAGATTGGGAGTAAAGGGCAAGGGAAAAATTAGGATTGGGGGGTAGGGGGGCAGAGGGTGGAGGGAGACGAGAATAAAAAAGAAGAAAAGGTGGTGAGGACAAGGTACAGTCAGTCAGCATGCTTCAGTTGTTCTGTAAGTCAGCATTTTCTCTCATGTCGCAGAAGAAAATATCATTTCTTTTCTTGGGAGATGCAGAGAATAGGAGACCCCATTTAATTTAACGCATCTTGCTAGCCATCAGTAAAGAGAATAATACTTGGCTGTCTCCAGAGTGGGTAAACTAGGGAGTCTTCAATCTTATAGTAGAATTTTTAAAAACTGTTCTGAGTCACATAATTTGTAAATATAATAAAGTGTGTGCCTTTGTTTGTTAGCAAATAATTCATGTGAATTTGTGTTATGTTGACCCATATGAAATTGCTTTTTGACCATTTCCAACCTACCAAAAGTAGCTTTATAAGATTTCAAGCTGATAGCTAGCTGCCTAACAGACAATCTGCCCTGAGCCCAGATTTTCATTTTTTTGTGGTTTCTTCCTACAATTCCAAGGAAGCTGTCAGAATCTGGAAGATGGCAATGGATCGGAATTGCACAGTGTGGGGAGAAATAGACAAGAGGACTGGAGTTGGGAACAGCTTGCCAACAAAAATCCTTGGCTCTTTACCAACAGTCAATCATTGTAGGTTAAGCAGAAAATATTGATGATAGATATTCCTGTTCTATGTGGGTTAAAGATTGGAAAATATGGAGTTATTTAAATGTTGGGAAATAGGTCAAGTGTAGGGCAAACATAATAGTGTTTTTCAGTGTAATGTTGTTTCCAGCAACTCAGCAGAGTGAAGCCTAGAAATTCATATATGTGTTTAGGAAAAAAGATGATTGAAGTGTTGGATACATATAAAGAACTTTTTGGTCATATGTTAAATTTGAATGATTCTGTGGAGCACATTGGCAGACAAGGATGTGACTGTGGGAGATGTGTAAGAAACGTTAGTCGCCTGTACTTACACAGACGCTTTCACTGTAACCACATCTAGATACTCCATCAAGGTGTGGGCTCTCAGTACTCTCAGTCATGTTTGCCTATGCACACTAATGAGTTCATTGCACAGTATCAAGTGCACTAGATGTAAGCCATATAGTACTGTTATATCACAGTGACATGACTACTTGCTTAGCATTGCAGTGGCTAGACACATAAGCAGGGAATATAGAATAACCTTCTTAGCTTCACACCTAGCTCACAGTACTCATCCCTAGAAAGTGATTGTTCTGAAGGAAACAGTCCATGAATTGAGAGCTCCCAATTTATGTAACACAAAACAGACAAGCAGTTTACTTTAAACTCTAGGTGAAATACCATTATAGCAAAACCTTTATTATCTAATAACTTCTTCCCAGAGTTCAGTATAACCATTACCCTATGTGGAAGAATTTGAAAGGGATTAGAGTAGGTAGAAGGTTGTCCTCAGACCTTTGCAATGGCTTTAGTAATTTTCAACTTCCTCTCTGTCTTGTTCCACAGTTAACTGCAAATGTCATTAAATCTCTGGCCCTGATTATTGAGGTACTTGAAAAACTATACCAGCACGTTTTAAAATAAAAATCCAAAGAACAATAAAAGAACAAACCAGTCACATAAGCAAGAAAGAAACATAACAGAATAAATGAATATGCTAATAGTTCTTTCCTGCTGGGGAGTGTTGTATCCTGATCTTGATCCTCACTGTTCAGAAATACTCACCCTTCCCCTTGGCATGCCTCTTTGGAGGTTGGAGTGCTCTTCTTTTGCACTTGTCAGTTGGGAATACCCTCCATCATCCTCTCCTCCTTTCACCAAGAAAGTCCCCGACAAATTATAGTTTTTCCTTTCTGCTATGACATTCTCATGTCCACGTGCAGCTGCCCTGAGGATCTCATTTCTAAACTCTTTATTGCAGAAAAGAAGACATTTTGGCCTCATCTTACTTTACCTGTCTTGTATTCAGATTTCTGTGTTCATGTAGATTTCATAGCAGAGTTGAAGTTAAGGGTGACAGCCAGCATGGTTAGATTGCAGTTTGTTGAACACTTTATTCACCCATGTAAAGATAAATGTACACAGGGTAGCTTACAAATCCAAAAATTAATGCCTTTTTACTTCAAGATAACTGTAACAAAGTTCACTTACTAAAGCTTATGTCTTCTATTTGTAAAGAGCCTTTCAGCTTTCAGTCTCAATTATAAATTAAATACTGCTCATGATGAGAGTGCTCCTACAGACAATCATACTAGCATGAATAGACAAAAGCTAATAACTTAATCCTTACATAAAAAGTCCTAAAACTCTGGAAAACACCTACACATCACTAGCAATAAAGCTCCAGCATGGGGTCACTTAATACAAGGAGCTCTCGTTGTATAGTAACCCCAGAGAGTTTCATTTGATGATGACCCTTAATCATCTTGAAAATATGTGATACATTCAATACCAGTCTGGTTAAATAAGAAATGAAGTGATTCTGTATTTTAGAAATGTATCTGTCAAAGTGATTATAGTGAGACTCTTTTAGAATATATATAAAGTTGATCAGCCATACTTAATTAGAAAGCAGATAATCTTAGGACCCTTTGCCCTTCCAGGTCCCCAGGTCCCCATGTTACTAGATTATGAGGCTGGATCATAAAGGCCAGATACTTGCCACTGCCAGTTTGTTTGTGGTCTCCCAACTTCTATGTTTTTGTTTATTCATGGGGTTTTCCTTCCCTTTTCTTTGGTTTCAGATGCGAGTGTCTCTCTGACTTATGTGGTTTCCCCATGTGTGAGGTGGGATCCACTCCCCGCATAGTCTCTCGTGGAGATGGGACACCTGGAAAGTGCTGTGATGTCTTTGAATGTGTTAATGGTACGTGCGGTTTCTCTTGTTCTCAGAGAGTGTACATTTGTGCCAGCAACAGGAAGAGGAGGAGGAGGAGGGGAGGGCTCATTGTAGATGTCCCTGCCATTTACAGAGCAGGGAACATACTCAAAGACTTTGTGAATGTCACTCAAAAAGGAGGTTTGCTTGACTCCACAGTGCAGTGAATAATAAAGTTAGGATGAGAAGCATTATCCTGTTGACGAGAACTTGGAAATGCATTAACAGGCTACATGTATTTCATACTCTGCTGGTTTCAGAATTCCAGAAGTTATGGGATTTAAGAAAAGGGATGAAGGAGCTTGATAGCTTGATATCTGTTCTTCCTATGTCATTCAGTACCTGTCCCATGCCATCAGAAGGGAATCTTAATTGAAAACCTCATGGGAGTTATCGCGATTTGAGATAGAAAAGGCATTGTGCATCCACTGTAATGTACTTAAAAGGGAATTTCTTTGACCAATGTTTACTCGTTGGTATTGGTGTGCTTTAGGCTTAACCTTCATGGCCCAGAAAAAGGATTCTTCCATTACAGGATTTCCCCAAACAGCATCTACTTCACTCTTTCACTCTTCACAAGGGAGTTTGGTGCTTGGTGACTTGGTGCTTATTTGTTTATCTGCCAGAAGGAAAGAAAAGCCAAATAAATCATACTTCTCCTCCAGAATTTTCAAGACTCTCATCCCCCCTAAAAGAAAAAGGGAAAAAATGGAAATGAGTACATTCAGGAAAATGGAGATGAGTTTAGGCAAATACAACAACAATGTAGAAACACTGGTATTAACTACATCTATTAACTACTACCTTTAGAAAGTCTCCCACTTCCCAGGTCCCCCCTCCCACAAAAGAAGTCATGTTAGAGCTAAGTCCCCTTTGATATGTCCTTGCATATTTAGTCCAGTGGTTATAGGTTGTGTTGCTTGGTTCACTTTGGAAAAGCTTTGTGGTTAAGATCAAACACAGACCAGAAAATTGGTTTATCCCATTACTAGCTGGATAACTGAGAAGGTTCTTTGGTCTGTCTGAACCTCAGTTCTACATGTATAAAATGAATAGTAATAAATTGAGATTTTATATATGAAGCACTTGGAATTATGCTTCAAGTACAAGCAGTCTTTATTACTCAGGGCACCTTTCCTCGGTTCACATCCCACAGACACTGTTCTGGGCATCAGTTGTGGGGCTACAGATGCTAGAGTTGAGCATCATGATGTACAAACTTTATCAATACAAGCTCACAGGGAGGGATGCAGTAAAAAGTCTGTGTGCTTGGATCACTTCTCAGGGCTTCTTTCTCATCACTCCTTCTAACCACACAGCTAGCAGTGCTGGCTGTTAAACACCAGCCAGTAGACAAAGCAGACCTTTTCTCTCTGGCTTTGCTACAGTGTAATTTATTATAGGTGGTATTCTGTGAATGCTTAACTTTTACCATCTTCCTGTGAATATTTAACTCGAATCATAATTCTTATACCACTTGAGACCAAAATCATCACACCTTACCCTGGGCTCCAGCACCTCTGAAGTGCTTCCTTCCACAGATCAACTCAGTGCAAATGCTCTTACTGTAATGTGAGATGCTAAAGGATGGGGGTCTTTTACATTCCTCCTTGTCTGTGGGTACTAGCATACCATGTACCTTATAGAGAGCACCCAAATTTTCTTGAGTGAGTGTACCATCTTAATTCCCTTGATAAGTGGCTATTAAAATATCAGCTAATAGAAGAGTTACTTCAAGGGAATTCTCCTACTGTTGATCTGATGCCATTTGTCTCCTGGAAATACACTTATATTAATAAAATTTACTCTTGTGTTTTCTGATACTTATTTTCTTTTTGCTTCTTGATTCTAGAAACCCAGGTGTTGTGCCTTTATATCAAGACATTAATTTTATCTCTCTCTCCAATCTGAAGGCAGCTAATAGCTGCACCCCTTTTCAATGACTATGAAATCTGCCCTTTTGTTAGACAGCCACTTTTTATAGAAACCTGACTACAGGAATAGGATTTACCATCTGCCATAAGAAAACATTGAGACAGAACAGTTACTGCATTTCTTGTAGGTGCTTCTTTCTTGCTACCATAAACTTGTATATTAATCTTTGTTTCATTTCTTACCCTGCTGTAAAGAAAGCATCTTTTACTGTATTACCTATTTATTTACAGAAGACTACAAACTAAAATACCATGAGAAATTGTAATCTCACAGAATATTTAAAGTATAGTTTATTTCAAATTCTGTATTTTACTTACTTTGTTATGTAGATACATGTGTGTATGTACTGGTGATGTTCTGTGTGTGCGTGTTAGGTGTATGTACTTCATGTGTGTGTTTATCGTCCAGTGACTTAGAAATACCTTGGCTCATGTCACATGTCACCATTAGAAAATACTATGTATCAAAGATTATCATCACTTGGGAAAGTAAAGGTCTGTTTTGTGCTTATATGTTGAAAGAGTGCTTATCCACAAGGATTTGAGGCAGCTTTACAGTGAGAGCAGATTCAATAATGTAGTGGTTAAACATTAATTAGAAAAGAGAAGTATAGCCATCGAGTCATCAATAAAGGCTGAGAGAGAAGGCTAAACAGTGCCCACATATGTGTAAGCTGACGTTTCTGTGTAGCTATCAGAGTTCATCATCAGGTTTGAGCCCCAGTTCCCTTCCAGCAAAGTGAAAAAAAGACAAAGGCTCAGACATGTAGTTTTTATTTTCAGAGGTAAATGTTTGATGGACAAGGTGATACACACTCTCTGGTGGACATTTCTCACATGCAAATGAAAACATGGAAGCACTGAGTGATGGCTAGATCATATATTCAATTGCTTTAACACAGCAAATGCAAAATCCAATTACCCATAGTGGGTCTTCTTAACAACAACAAAAAACAAAAGGAAAATTTTACAGTGTAAATCAGTGAAGACAGTTTCAAGAGGTCAGGTTGGCGTCCAGGCCTGCACATCTAAAGCACTGTCTTTGAACTCCCACGTGGGGGGCTAGAACTAAAAACCCCACCTAGTTCAGAAATGTTTAATAGTAATATCAGCAACATCACATATGAAACTGAGATTAGACAGCACCACTGCATTCCAGGCTGCCATCATATTCCACAGGTCTGTCTTATTTTTTGAAGATAAACATTAAAGTGAAAATATAAGGTTTAAAACTACTTGCAGGTAGCACTTGTGTGTGTGTCTTTGTTGAATTTGCAACAAAGCCTTATAGACAGGTGCATACAATAAATCCTCTTTTGCAACCCAGAACTCATTGTTGAATTTGAGATTTTGGTTCATGTAAGAAGAAATTCCTGTAGTGGTTGGCAATATGGAGATTTGTTCACACAGGTTGACTCTGAGAATAAAGGGATGTAAACACTAAAAAAAACTAAAAATAAAAATACTTGCAGAACTCAGTACTTCTGGCCTGGAAGAATAGACAGGAAAACAACCACTGTGATGTTCCTTCTTTCGGTGGTTTACTTGGGTGTTGTTTTGGTGGAAAAATTAGAAGATTACTGATCAGATCATGAAAGTTCAGGTACCTAGCTGCTCTGGGATTTTTTGTTTGTTTTGTTTTGGTGAGGGGAGGGACAATCCTTTTATTTTTACAAACAAAAATCTAAGAAATAGCCAGATACCTGGTGGCTGATGCCTCTAATCCTAGCTACTCAGGGGGCTGAGATCTGAGGATTGTGGTTCAAAGCCAGCCAAGGTAGGAAAGTCCATGAGACTCTTATCTCCAGTTAACCATCAGAAAACCGAAAGTGGTCCTGTGGCTCAAGAGGTATTGTGCTTGCCTTGAGCTGAAGAGCTGTGGGACAGAGTTCAGGCCTCACAATCAAAAAAAAAAAAAAAAGTAAAAGAAATAGTATAACCCCTCTCTACAGCATCTTTGCAATTAAAAAAAATGGGGGGAAAATAAAGCAGAGAAAAACCCCTCTCTAAAACAAGTAAGTACTCAGTGGGCTTAATACTTATGGGGTATGGTTGAATAAGAATTGTTATATAAAAACTAAAGGTACAGGTATGGTATAGTTAAAAGGTGAGCAGTCAATCCTACACCTGCTTTGAGAAACAGTTCTGCTTCTGCACCAGCCTACAAACCAATGTTTTCTGAGGCGCCAGCTGTTACTGCATGTGGCCTCTACTTCTGAATGGGTGTATCTGCTCAATTTAGTCCTAACTCCTCCGGTTGTCTTACTGTGGCCAACCTCTTTCCTGTATTGTTTTACTGTGGCCCACCTCTCTCATTCCTGGAGACATTTGCAGTAGAAGTCCCAAACAGAAAAAGTTTGAGAAACATGGTCAGTTGTCCTTTGTGTGTGCATAAACATTTGGATAAGAGGAGAGGGGAGGGGACAGGAGGGAATGTAGTTGTAGGGGTGGGAGGGAAGGGATGGTAGAGGAAAAACAAAGGAGGAGGTAACAATGCTTGATAGGAAATGTACTCATTACCTTGCTCATGTAACTTAACCCCTCTGTACAGTTTTTTTACAATAAAATTTTTTTTTAAAAAACTCTAGGTAAGATAGCATATTTGATTTGAATGATATAGTCAGTAACTGACTTCCAGGATAACTTAGTTATAGAATATTCGCCAAGTGAGTACATGAATGACTACCATTATGTTGTAAGTTGAAACTACCAGAAATAGAGCATTTAATAGTAGCAGTATATAGTAAGGAGGACCAGGTAAACCACGTTCATTAAAATTGGAAATGATCTTATGCTGATGAAATCAATCAGTTACAATAGAGCTATAAACCAAATCAGTTTGGGCTAGAAAACCCAAACATGCCTCCTGTTCATAAGAAAACTAGTAATAAAGACATTGTTCAGAACTCCCTGTCTTTATAGCAACCTACAAGACACATAGTCTACTGATACAAAATGGAGACAATCTAGCACTTAGAAGAAATATTCTCTTCAATATGTACTTACTGAGCACCTCTGGTGTTCCCAATGCCTTATTAAGCTAACGTTTAAGAGAAGCCTTTGTAATCAGTTCTGAGTAATGCTCCTTTTCCTTTATCCTGAAGTGGTATTTGCTAGGTCATACTCTGTATATATCCTCCAGATAACCAGAAACCCTCCTACCCTGTCTTTGTATTCTGTGGCCTTATTGTCAGAAGGTTCCCATCTGTCATACCTTTTCTCTCTGCTGGCTTCTGGCTCTCTGTCCATGTGCTTCTTATCCAGTTCACCCCAGTGAGGAAATGAGACCAGTAGCAATGCATGAGCAGGTATATGAGTTGTCTTTTAACGAGAGGCTGAAGAAAACAAACAAAAAAAGGAAGAAATGCCTCAAGTTAGGATTTCTTCATTTTCACATTTAATGTGAACTTCTACCTTTCAGTCTTTTCCTTTGTTCCCATGAGGAGGAGGGGGCTGCCCTCACCATCTGCCAATCAGAATTGGGCAGGAATTAAAGTTTGCTAGTAGTTTGTATTATAAGGGTCTTTTTTCAGGAGTTCTAAAAGACAATAAAAAAGGAAGAAAAGATTCCAGAACTTAAAAACAAAGATGTAATTAGCAGAGACATAGAATTTGCCTAGAAATAATTAAAAAGACACCTTTATGCATCTCTGTGTTGAGTAGTACAAATTACATAGTAAATAATCTCAGCATAATACATTTCTATTCCACATCCACTTAAATCATCTACTTGGAGAGGTAGTAGACTCTGAGATTTACATCTGTCTGTCCTCAGCAGGTGAAGTATTAATTGGCCATTTGTCCTCAAAGACCCTGGCTAGCTTCTCCGTGATGCTAGAAGAGCCTTTGCACATTTTTTGAAGTGTTTTTATAAATTTCTTTCCACATCAGAGATTTCATTGTGCTATGATTTTTTTTATCTTACCCTAAAGGCTTGTGTTTTTTAGTCTGTAATTTGTTGATACTACATCTTTCTAAATTCCATTCCCTTACCCCTATGCTGAGACAGTGGATCCGACCTCTCTATCTTTTCTCATGTCAGTTTTTGTGCAGCCCACCGTAAGACAAGTCTGCTGCAGCAGATTCTGCACCATATCTCCCTGCTTCTTCAGATCTTCCAATAGGGTTTGTGACTCGATCCTCGATTGTAGCTGTGGGTGGTTAACTCAACTAAATAATTAACATTGATTGGCTTATAAAATGATTTTTTTTCCAGTTTGGATGCATATGTAGAGTATGGTATTCACCTTATTCGCAACATTTAGGGTGACATTTAAGAAATGTTTTGGGGACCAAGGAAAGGAAGATGTGAATATTACATTCAGCTTTGGCCATCTGCATGAGCAGAGTACATCAGCTGGGGAGAACTTTCTTCAATTTGGGATGACTTTTTAAACACAGCTTCATCAAGACATATTCCAGCAGTTCACCAGCTTCCAGTTGTACAAGGTATCTACAGAGTTGTGCGGGTAGCAACTCTGTAGATGTGCCCATTGTAAGTTAGGTAGTGTAATAATGGTTTTGTGACTGGTTTCTTTTAGTTATCTTAAAGTTCTCAAGATACATTTACATTGTACCTTATAGCTCAACTTTATTGGTTTTGGCACAATAGCAAATAAACAATCATTAAGTAGTATATAGACAATTTTCAAAGTACAGGTGTGATACTTATTTATAAATCTATTCTAAATATGTTACCGAGAATGGTTTGTTTGATTTTTTTAGCTTCCTCATATATAGAAACAATTATTTTGAGCTTAACAGTTAGTATTCTATTGTTGAACTTGTAAATAAGTTCTGATGATTTTCCCCCCGGTGCTGAGGCTTAAATCTGGACTTAGGCACTGTCCCTGAGCTGCTTTTGCTCAAGGCTAGTGCTCTACCACTTGAGCCACAACGCCACATCTGGCTTTTTCTAAGTAGTTAATTGGAGAGTTTATTGGAGACTTTTCCTGCCTGGGCTGGCTTCAAACCATGATCCTCAGATCTCAGCCTTCTGAGTAGCTAGGATTACAGGAGTGAGCCACCGTGCCCAGCGATGATTTCTTAGTAGATTCTGAAGAATAACTTATTTACAAGATTATGTCATCTACCTATGTGTGTGAGGGGGATGGTATGTTAGTATTAAGGCTTGAACCCAAGCAGCATTTTTGCTCATGGCTGGTACTCTACCACGTGCCCCCAAGCTGGCTTTGAACCTCAATTCTCAGATCTTAGCCTTCTAAGTAGTTATGATTTACACGTGTGATTCACCAGTACTCAGCTCATTTCTTCCTTATTAATCTGGATAACTTGTTTATTTGTCTTACCTATTGCTAGAACTTGTACTACAATGTTGAATTGATGGGCTAGGAGCAGACATCATTTCCTTATTCTTGGTTTTAGGGACAAACATTTAGTCTTCACCATTGATGGTATGTTAGCATAGTTAAGTGTATTTTGTAGATTTTGTATTCATTAGAGTTTCATTGCAGTGACAAAATACTTGAAAAAAGTAACTTATGGGACAACATGTTTACTTGGACTCATGGTTACTGAGGGAAATTTTTTGGAGGGTACTAGAGATTGAACTCAGAGCCTCACACTTGCTAGGCAAGTGCTGTACCACTTGAACTATGTCTCCAGCCCTTTTTTTTGCTTTAGTTATTTTTTTATTTTCAGACAGAATTGTGCCTTTTTTCCAGGACCAGGCTTCCTTTGAACTTCAATACTTCCATGTCTGCCTCCCAAGTAGCTACAATTCCAGGTGTAAATCACTATGCCTGGTTGTTTCTGGACTTCCTTAGGAAGAGCATGATAGAAGAAAGTTGCTCACGTCTTAGAAGCCAGGAAGCAGGGGGAAGGAGAGAAGAGTCAGGGATAAGATACAGCCTTCAGAAGCATAGCCCAGTATCCTTCCTCCAAACAGGACTCAACTCCTAATAGTCCATTCACAAGTAAACTCATAGTACCCACTTGGACCAATTACTTCTCAGTAGCACAACCAAGCTGAGAACCTTACTTTCAACACATGAACCTTTGGGGTCCACTTCTCCAAACCATAACAAGGCTATCAAGTTGAGAATGTTCCTTCATATTCCTTTCTGTTGAACATTTTTATTATGAAAGCATAAGATTTTTTTTTCAGATGACTATGACTTGAGATAGTCGTGTGATTTCTATACTCCACTGATGTGTTATAATATTTGTACACTAAACCAACCTTGCATTCTTGGAATAGGATAAATGCCATTTAGTAATGGAATATAATCCATGTGGTCTGCTTGTAATTCCTTTGAGAATTTTTGTGTCAGTACTTGTTGTTGAGCTTAAAATAGGTTTTATATATATATATATATATATATATATGTATGTATATATGTATATGTATATATATGAAAGTCTAAGCACTATGCAAGTTATAGATAACAAACCAAATAGAGAAAAGACTGGATATAGAAAAGATTGGCATGTACAAAAATGCCAAATCAAAATTTGTGAAGCAAAATAGAAGTATCTCTGTGGAGATAGGATCATTGATTTGAAGTAGGGAATGATTTGACAAAACAAATGTAATCTTTTTTTTTTTTTTGGGTCCGGTCGTGGGGCCTGAACTCTGGGCCTGGGTGCTGTACCTCAGCTCTTCAGCTCAAGGCTAGCACTCTACCACTTGAGCCACAGCGCCACTTCCGGCTTTTTTCTTTTTGCTTATGTGGTGCTGTGGAATCGAACCCAGGGCCTTGAGCATGCAAGGCAAGCACTCTACCACTGAGCCACCTTCCCAGCCCCAAATGTAATCTTTTAACAGCATGTACAAGATAGAGTTCCATGGTATAAAGTATTCCACTTGGGGGATGAGAGGAAGAAATAAGTGTAGATTTTTGCTAGGGGAAATTTCCGTTCCTTCATATGAGCAGGATTACATTGTATTTATTTTATACCTTATTTTGCTTTATTGTTTCTCTGACAAAGTAAATTTGATGTTACTAAGTTTCTATCAGATAATGACTACCTGTTTCTGTAAGACTTTTCTATAGGCTGTCTGTAAAGCATAAAGGATCTCACTCACCAATGACTTTATATATGCATTGTTTTAATTCCTTTCAGAAACAAAGCCAGCCTGTGTGTTCAACAGTGTGGAGTACTATGACGGAGACATGTTTCGAATGGACAACTGTCGGTTCTGTCGCTGCCAAGGGGGTGTCTCTATCTGCTTCACTGCACAGTGCGGGGAGCTGAGCTGTGAGAGATATTACGTGCCCGAAGGGGAATGCTGTCCAGTGTGTGAAGGTAAGAAAAGGTGCTAACTGGAGATTATTATATCTGTACATAGTCCTTTTGTTTCAAATTGACCTAAATCAGTCATACTCAAAATTACAGGAATATGGAAGAAGGTCCTTTTTATGATATCATGGCCTGTCTTGTACAATGTTGGTAATGTCAGGTAATATCAGGCAGAACATAAAAATACTTCACTTGGGCATTAACACAAGTTAATATGAGATTTCCCAGAATTGTTTTCTTTTTTTTTTATTGTGAAAATACTGTACAGAGGAGTTACAATTACATGGGCAAGATAATGAGTACATTTCTTATCAAAGCATTGTAGCCTCCTCCTTTGTTTCCCCTTCCCATCCCTTCCCATCCTCCCCCTCACCCCCGTTACCCCACCCAATCCTCCCTACCCCCCCCACAAAAGTTGTAAAGTTCATTTTCGACCTAATGACTTGTACATCTCATTGTTGCAATGGGTCCACCTGTATCCCTATTTAAATGATTTGTTTTTCCCCTTCCCCTACACAAATTATACCGACATCAAAACAGTGACAGCAGGGTTATACTGTGGGGAAGGGACATACAAAGCAAAAAAGAAATCATCTTATAAATGTGTTAGAAACAATCGCATGAAAGAAAAAAACATTTGAATACATATCTTAGGGTTCATTTCCCTAACATCACCTTATCTGACCTTTTCTGCTTGATATTTCAAATAAGGGAAACCATGGGACTTATGTTTCTTTGGGCCTGGCTTACTTCACTTAATATACTTTTTTCCAAGCCTTTTCATTTCCTAACAAATGGGGCAATGTCATTCTTTCTGATGGAGGCATAGAATTCCATGGTGTATATATACCACATTTTCTTGATCCATTCATCTACTGAGGGGCATCTGGGTTGGTTCCATCTCTTACCTATAGTAAATAATGCTGCAATAAACATAGTTGTGCTGGTAGCTTTAGTGTGGTCTTGTTTGTAAACATTTGGGTAAATGCCCAAAAGTGGAATTGCTGGGTCATAGGGGAGCTCTATGTACTTTCCAAAGTGGTTGAACAAGTTTATACTCCCACCAGCAATGCAGTAAGGTTCCCTTCTGTCCACGTGGCCTATCTTGTACAATGTTGGTAATGTCAGGTAATATCAGGCAGAATATGAAAATACTTCCCTTGGGCTTAGACAGTGGGTCCTTTGTTTATACAAGTTAATATGGGATTTCCCAGAATTGCTTTCTTTTCCTCCTCGGTAGTTGGTGTGCTTCCTTAGCAAATCCTGAGACCTTGACATTGAAATTCATCACCTTCTCTGTGTAGACACTCAGCTAGGCCTTTGTCCTCATTAGACTTAGCCATTGAGCTCAGAAAGAAACCAACCCACATCCTTAGCTCTACCTGAGATCAGTACCTGCCTGCCTCTCCTCCTCCTCTGAACTTATGTGGTAATCAGAGTATGTTTTCAAGTTGTGTGGTGACACCAGCTCTAAGAGTAGGTAGTTAGATATAGCCCTGAGTATCAAGTATGCCTCTCCAGGGACTAGACTGTTATGCTGTGCATTCTCCAGGAAACACTATTCCATGATCCTCTGGCAGGCTAATCTTACCATTTCAGATAGTCATAAATAACAAACATGTCAAAACAGTACCTCCAGATATCATTTGTTATAACCATCCATGAAAGATTAAGAACAAAAGTTCAGAAAAGTCACTTTATAAGGAAACCAGGGCTTCCAGGGCTGATAGTGACTCAGATTTTGAACACACAGGACCTCCTCAAAAGAGAAGGTTCGTGAGCAGTGTTTTGTTTTGTTTTATTGTTTGCCCTGATTGAGTTGTAACTCTTTAGTCTGAAACCTCCATGTGTGTCTTCTTTTATCTATATCTATATCTATATAGATATAGATAGGTATAGATATATAATTTTTTGTAAAGATACTGTAGAGAGGGGTTACAGATACACACGTAAGGTAATGGGTAAATTTCCTGTTAATCATTGTTACCTCCTCCTTTGTTTTACCCCTACCATCCCTACCCTCTCCACCACCATGTATATCTTAAGCTTGATTTCTGTGCACAAAACAGGAGAACAGTGTCCTGTCAGCTTCTAAACTTTTTCCTGGTTTCCTGGAATCCTTTCCTGTAATATTTTGAGTCACGTATACAATGTTGAAGACCTAAAATGTTTAATGTATAAAAACTCCATTCCTAACACTGAATAGTTGTTCCTCATAAGAACAATGAGTCCTTTCCTCTCTTAGATATATTTTAGCCAACAAAAGAAAAATTAACTTTTTAGATGTCATTGGGAACATTTGAAAGATTACCTCAAACTGTTAGCCCTCTCAATTGACTGGTTCTCTAGCTACCCCTAGTTTGTAATAGCACTGGGAACTATGGAGCAGTTGATGATGTGAAAACATAGATATGAGTCATTGTATAGTAATCATAGGAAGGTTTCTCAGCATGGATCTATTGTGTTTCACTTCACGGAATTCAGCTCCATTCCTGAAGTAGAGATGAAGTAAGTAACTTACTAAGTCTTACTGAGATGAAGTCTAATGGCTACTTCCCTCAGGCAGAGTGCCTTGTAAAAGCAGAAACTTAATTATTTTTAAATTTTGACCTTTTATCTTCTGTTTGATGCCTCTCTCTCCTTAGTATAAAGACCACACTTTGAGCTGTCTGGTTCGTCTCCCTGAATAATAGTCATTTATTGAAGCCAATTTTTATGTATTTCTATGAAAGAATATGGAAAAATTTATGTCTCACTGTAGTGATACCTGGGGATTTTTGTGTGCAGTATTTATACTCTTGTTAATCACTACAGAAAAAATATTTTTAGAATAGCCTTAGGCTAATTCTGTACCCCAGCCTTAGCTTAATCTTGCCTGCCGAGTTATGGAGAAAAAATGGCCTATGTTTACAGTGTTTCTCCAATGCACCAAGAGTGACCCATGGATGGCTAGCTGCCTTGTCACACTCAGAACCCAGCAAGAGCCTGCTCTGCCTCTCCCTTTTCTCTCCCTGTGTGAATCTGGCTGGTAAATCTCATGAGTAACAGCATCACTCTTAAGTTTGACAAGTTTCTTTCCATATCATAGGTGGTAAAATTGAGGATAATAAGCATTTAAGTCAAGAGCTTAAAAGAAATTGGTAGAAACTAAAATGGATTAGGGTTTTCTGAATACCAACACACAGCTCTGTCCCCAAAGCTTTCTAACTTTATGAGTGACAATATAGATCCTCCTCCCTCACTATAAAGTGTCATGATGCCAGGCAGGCAGAAATATCCATGAGACTCTGATCTCCAATAAACCACTAGAAAACCGGAAGTGGCACTGTGGCTCAAGAGGTAGAGCACTTGCCTTGAGCAGAAGAGCTTAGGGACAGCACCCAGGCCCAGAGTTCAAGCCCCACGACTGACCCCCCCCCAAAAAAAAGTGTCATGATGACAAGGTACAAAGCCCCATGTGACAGTTGCTTTTTGTGTGTAGCAGAAGAGACTCTTCACATGACCCCTAGCTTCTGTGGATCACAGTTAGAGTAAAATTGTTGATGAATCAAACCTAGGGGGGGGGGAAGGGGGGGCGAGGAAGATCTCTTGGTGCACAATCTTACTCTGCACTTACGTTTTTATTTAGATCCAGTGTATCCTTTCAACAATCCTGCTGGCTGCTATGCCAATGGCCAGATCCGAGCCCATGGAGACCGGTGGCGGGAAGATGACTGCACATTCTGCCAGTGCATCAATGGAGAGCCCCACTGCGTGGCCACAGCCTGTGGGCAGAGCTGCATGCACCCTGTGAAAGTGCCGGGGGAGTGTTGCCCTGTGTGTGAAGGTAAACTTGTCCCTCTAATGAGTCTCTGGCAAAGGTCTCCTGTTGCAGAAACTTCTGCCAGTGTGTTCTTGTTTGTTTCTTATTTCCTCAGGCACAATGTCTGCTTCATGCTGTTACCAGTTGCAAATGAATTTTTATTATACAGCCCACATTCATGATTTGGGGGAAATGTTGGGAATATCAAGTGGGAATAGTGTGGTCTTTATTTTTACCATTGTTTATGTGCTTGCCTGAATATATTGCATATTACTTGAAATCATCACAAGCCTAGTTAATATCCAAAGCTCAGCATAAGGAAATAAAACAGGAAATAAGATTCATGACTTCAAGTATAGCATTCCAGCCTGGGATGTCTCTCTAAGCTCAGGTCCTGACAACTAGAAAAAAAAAAGATGTTTAGAACCATCAATGGCAGTTTGCACTGTCTAGTGCCTCATTTTGAACATACTTTCTGCTTCTAATATGATTGATCGTGGCTGTGTCTTCTCAGTTCTGCCAATGGTTTACTTTCATGTTTTGGTTACCAGTATTTGCTACATTTCTATTCTTGGGCTACATTTTCTGGGCCAGCTATTGTGCATTTCCTCTACCCTGGGAAGATTTTTTTTTTGCCCACTTACTCATGTCTTAATCTATCTGTGTCTGTTATAGACAAGAGATTGAATATTTATTGATGGTTAGAGAGTGTCATCATTCAAAAGCATAGTTGAATAGTAAAATGAACTAATGAAGGCCAAAAATTGATCCATGGTAGAGGTAGATCCTTGTAGAATTTTTTAAGAACAAATAGTAAGAAACCAATAGGTTTTATTATGTCTTTTGAATATCAAGATATATTGAAGCCGGGCACTTGTAGTTCATACATATAATCCTAGCGACTCTGGAGGCCTGAAATCTGAGGATCAGAGTTCAAAGCCAGCCCAAGCAGATAGATCCAAAAGCCTCTTATGTTCCAGTTAACCAGCCAAAAAGCTGGAAGTGGTGGCACATCTTAAGTGATAGAGTGACCACCATGAACATAAACACCCTAAGTTTAATTCCTAGTAGCAGCACACCACCGCCAAAAGTCTTTTCCTTCCATATAAATTTTAGTAAATTCAGACTTCAGAATTTACTGGCTAGAGCCAGGCTACAATTAATTGCTCATGCATATAATCCTAGTTACTCAGGAGGCTGAGATCTGAGGATCAAAGTTGGAAGCAAGCCTGCGCATGAAAGTCCATAAGACTCGTATCTCCAATCAATCATAGAAAAAGCCAGAAGTGGAGCTATGGCTCAAGTGGTAGAACACTTGCTAGCCTTGAGTACAAAGAGGCTCAGGGACAGTTCTCAGGCCCTGAGTTCAAGCTCTAGGACCAGCAAAAACAAAAAACCTAAAACCTCAGAACCATTTGTTTGTTTTTGTTTTTGTTTTTACAAAAGTAAATGTACATCTTAATCTTTGTATCCATTAGTATATCCATCATGGTAAGTAAAAATGTGTATATGTATATGAATTTTTTTAGTCTTACCTCATGTAAATGTTTGGATAGGGCCTTAGTTTGGTCACTTAGTGTTGGGCTCTATAACTTGTGCAGAGAGTTGTAATCTACTGCTTGGCTGCTTGAGCAAAGAGTGACAGGTAGGGTGAACCAGTAATTATAAAAAAATAATTGCAGAACCTCTTGTAGTCCAGGAAAAGCAAAAACAAGCAAGAAACAGCTTTAACCTCAAACAACATATTCGAGTTAATTTTAAAATAAACCAGGAAAAAAACAAATATTCATATTGGGGTATTCTTGAGTAAATGCTTTACTTTTGATCCGATTTTTGTTTAATTCTTACAATACTATGCTACAGGCCTTGCTGACCCATTTTAGAAATGGACAAACTAAGCTTTATATATAGTGATGTAATAGCCCCCAAACTGCCATTTTGTGACCTAACTGGGATTAAACTGAAGTCTGTCAGACCAAGCTACATTCTCATTTTGCTTCTCCTTTTCTCAGATGTCACCTCTACTCATTCGTGAATTCTATTTCTAGTTCCTTTAGTAATCTCTATTCACCTATGACATTTGGCTCTGTTTTAGGGAGAGACAGGAGTGGCATAGTAGGGGAGAAACTCATTTGCAGTTGGAAAATGACTCCAGGTGTTTTGGATGTGATCACCCACCTACCTTCTTCTTACCAAGTTTGCTTACCACAGGCAGAAGATGCCCCTAAGATACCTCCTGAGTTTGCTTTTCTAGCTACCTGACCTAGTAGCACTGTCTACCTCTATAGAACAGCATCTTCATTATTTCATCCAAGAGTCTGCTGGTCCCTTTCTTCTCTATTTTATGCTTGTAGTACTTACCTCCTCTCTACATCAAAACTTCCAGAAGATTCCACATTCTAGTTCTCAGATAACTAATTAACATTTTTGTTTCTTTAAGGGTGTATTAGGGACAGATTCTTCAGTACAAAATTAAAAATAAAACAGTGCAAATCTTTAGGTAATGCTTCTAAAAGTTTATTGTTAATCATCATAAATTTACAAAGTAATACCAGATGAGTGGGTCTAACTGTATAGTGTCCAAGAAAGTCTGAGGAACCATTTGAAATATTCTCAGCAGCCATTTGTAGCATACTTAAATTTAATTTCAAGGTAAATGATTATATGCGTGGGTAATGTAAAGTGTTAAATGTATAATAAGTAAACAATCATCCAGAATCATTTAGAGAAAAACAGAAGCTCTGCTGCTTAGGCAGTTAAGACACACAGTAAATTCCTCAGCACTCAATTGCATAACAAGTATTAGCCCTACCCCTGTTAGCTCATCTCAGTCTGAAATTAGAAAAGAGGACCCCACACTAGGAAAATGGTTCTAAATTCTTTCTAAATAACTTACTGCGTCACCAAATAAGGCATGTTAGGACCTATAGGGAGAACTTGGTTGTAGCTGTCTTTGTTATAGAAGATATGTGCTTTCCACATCAGCTTCAGCTACATTTTTATTTTGCATAGCATGCCTGCTTACTCCCAGAGGACCAGGGACATGAATCTGGGGCCCTTAAAGACAACGCTGTTACTTGATAGCTAACTTGATTCACGAGTACCTAAGTGCTTTTTAAGGTGGTACTTATGTACTCTCGTATGGAAGTCTTAGCACGTTTTTGTCAACACACAGTTCAGGTATAAAGATAAGCCATTCTTGTCTGTAACTGATTGTGTTGTCGTGTTTTGCTATGCTGGCATTTCTCTACATCTCATGTTCATCACTCTCGTTATCTCTATTTTTAGACTCTTATAACTAGTTAAGGTAGAATTATGTGGAGTAGTGTGCAATGTTTGCAATATATTTAAGTGGACAAAGGGAAGAATAACATTTTAAAAACTAAAATCATTACACTACCTCTGAGGCAAACAGTGCACTGCACCCTAGAAAGTAGCCATAGTCCGTGGAGCAAGGAATTTACCAGCTCCTTTTGAATTCTTCAGGTGGCATCTATGTGTAAGTGGATGCCCAAATGTTCCCTGAAGAAATGACAGGTAGGATAGGAAAGAAGGAGTAGTGTAGGAAATCTCAACTCTTCCTGCAGACCTCTTTAGCTGAGAAAGGCCCTGGTAGGCTCAAAAATCAGACGGACATTTTGACCCTGGCCAGTTGAAGAAAGGGTAAGGTTAAAATGCTGTATTGAAAAAACATATTTTAATATATGTTTTATTGTAAAAATACTGTACAGAGGGGTTACAGTTACATGAGTAAAGTAATGAGTACATTTCCTACCGAGCATTGTTACCCTCTCCTTTGTTTTTCCCCTACCATCCCTTTCCTTCCCCCCACCCACCCAAAGTTGTAAAGTTTGTTTTCAGCATAATGTCTTGTACATCTCATTGTTACGGTAGGTCAACCTGTATCCTTATTTAAGCATTTTGTTTTTTTCCCTTCCCTTCCTCAAATTAGAAAAATGTATATAGAAGATATATATACAGGGCACCTGAATCAAATACAGTAAAAACAGGGGTTATACCGTGAGGGAGGAACATACCAAAGAAACAAAAAAATCACATAGTACATTATAAATATATTTTTAAAAATCAAGAAAGAAAAAATCACTTGTGTCCCTATCTTGGGGTTCATTTCACTTCACAACATCTTATATGGTCATATGTACATAGCTTTTGACCTTTTCTGCTTGTCCTAAACTTATACTAATTATTGCGAATAAGGGAAACCATGGGACCTATGTTTCTTTGGGCCTGGCTCACTTCACTTAATATAATTTTTTCCAAGTCTTTCCAATTCCTAACAAATGGGGCAATGTCATTCTGAAAACACATATTTTGAGAACAGAAAGAAGGGTACTTAGAGTATTTGACATGTGGTGACTCAGCTCACTTTAACTACTTGTCCTTCTGATGAACATTTATCTCTCAGCTTTATTTAGGGTAGCCATGTAGGCCTTCCAACACTGGTGTTTGTTCTTTCTCAGTTCAGACCTTCAAGTTCAGAATCAAGAGTTTCCATGGAGTTTTCCTAGACTCTCTAAGGCTAATGCCTGCTGTCACCTTTAACCCTGTTTTAATGACACACCATGTGCATGTGTAGATGCTGCTGTGTTACTTTGTTCTCTTTTACGCAGGTAATCTTTGTTTCTTATGTCACAGGTATTTAGAATAACTTTCTAATTTCCCCCAGTACTGTCTAGTATAAATGTTGCATAAGCTGATTTTTAATGTCATAGGAACCAAAAGGACAAGATGACATTTCCTTTGATTGTCTTTAGTTGAAGGTGGTAAGTTAAAGTGTTGGGGAAGGAAACTTGGCTGCAAGATGTACTTGACATATTCATGATCACTAAATAATAAAATAAAATCAGATATGGACAGGTGTGGGGCCACCTTAGTTATGACACTTGATCCAAAAGATAAACATTTCATCATAACTTACGAGTGTCAGTTTCACTCTTGACCTATGCCTCATCTTGACTGGGGCTGGCCTGGCTCAGTCAACTACTCTGACCTGAGTATTCTTC